CATCGTTCATGGTTACTGGTGCATGCAGAGGAGAGGGCACTTTAGATGCCAGAAAAACAGTTGAGACAAAAGCACGCCCTTTCGCTGGTTGGATGGGTTTGTAAGCTGGTAGCAAAGAAATCAGTGTTTCTAGTGAACTATCCACACTTAGAGACATCAGACAGAAAAGTGCTGGATGTTCTGGGATATCCCTCTGCTTCTTTGGGATCCACTAACTAAACTTTGTTCTAGAGTAGAAATAAAACCTTAAAGAGCTGTGTCTTATTCATTTAAGCTATATCAATATGTGCACCATTGCCTTGAGGCAACAGTTTTTTTTAATCTTTGATGTTGTCACTAAGCCTATATCTATTTACTCTGACAGAAAAAGAAAAGATACAGTATAAGCTTTGATATCGCGCAGCCCACACCTGCGTCCCAACCAAATGCAAAGCTTAGGACCTATAAAATGCCATTTTAAATGTCATGTTCTTGAACTGTATTTGTTCCTTTCCAATGTCAACAATTCACCGTTTTCATTCAGTGAGAGTTCATTTTACTTTATAGCAGTCTTTTAAATGCCTTGACATTTAAGAAGAGAATCCCCGCTTCTTGGAGTTTTATGGATACTGGTGACGGCAGACTAAACCTGCAGATTGTTTTTAGTTTTCAGTTGTAGTCTGGGAACAAGTGTAACACCCATGGTCATGTAACCTGACATTGGTGAGATACCTTCACCTTCTGACTAAATCCAGCCACCGAGTGCACTCACATACCACTCAGGGATGATACCTGATCCCAGAAAACGAGCTCTTTGAGTCTAAACTGAGAAGGACACAGCCTAAGTGTATGTTTGGAGCTTATGTGCTCAAACCACATGTCACAAATTAATGAACAAACTTGAGAATCAACTTATTTTTTAAGTTATAATTCAAGTAGGAAATGCCAAATGTTTTGCTGGTACTGTTGAACTACTGAGAGGCTTTGCGGTTTTATTTATGGTTTACATCAATATAAATGGACTTCTTTGAGTACGACATGACTGGTTGGACAAAAGAAGTTCACCTTGGGGACTTGTGTTAGGCCAATGTAAACTATTTTATTTAAATAGAAGCTTAGTGTGTCAGACTGGCTTAAAAAGTCACTATCCAGCACAGATTGTCACTCTCGGGCATAACCAAGCACCGTACCTGGGGCGACAGAGCTTTCACCATTGCAGCCCCCTCCCTTACCCATACACATCCGAGATTGCAGCGACATGGACTCTTTTCGCTTTTAACATCTAATAATGTTATATTACACCTGCTGCTGTTTGTTATTTATATGGTCGCCCTTTGCTCTTATTTCTGCACCACATGTTTTTATCTACTGTTCAAATATTTTATATTATGCTATTTATGTTTTTAATGTGTTTTAAATGTACATAACTTCTGTTTTTACTGTAAAGTGTCTTTGAGTGTCCTGAAAAGCCCTATAGAAATAAAATGTATTACTACTACTACTACTACTACGACATGTGTTTATAACTGTAGAGGCTACGGTAGTGTTTTTCAGGGGTGCTTATTTGTAATGTCTTGCTCTCCACCGGGATGGACTCCTTTACCACTCCTCCTTTTACCATCAGTAAAAAGAGTGTGTTCGCCTGGGGTGATAATGTGAGTAGCACACTCAAATTTTCAACAAGGTATTATGTGCCCTGTTGAGGTAACTCTGCAGCCAGCTAGGCCCTAGATAGATAGACAGTAGTTAGTCTCTAGAAGTAAGGCTGCATGTGGCGCAGTAGGAAAGCACTGTCCCTTCATTGCTGCTGTCCACAAGGCAGACACTGACAAGGGGGCTTCTTACAGAGTCAGCATGTCGGGCCTATGGAGGGCTTTTTTACTGGACAAAAAAAATCTATTGTGCACCTAATCTCGAAAAGAGCTGACGTGCTTTGTGTTCAGTATTATCTTTAGCTGTCCGGGATCCAACCAAAGCATGAAATCTGGGGCTCTTTCAGGAATCTATCTACATATCCAGTTAGATCAACAATCAGCCAGCAGCCACACATGTCAAGGCTTATCAACACAAGCTATTGCAAGGATGAATACACTCTATACATGCAGTATGGTTCTTTAATTGGTTTGAGTTTAACATAGGAGGGGAAAGCACGCCTATTATAGGAGTGGGCTGCAAACTCATGATTTACAGTTAAGCTTGGAATCCTCCTGCATACTAATACTGTGTTGAATATTCACAATATCTTTTAGATATCAAGAATGAATCATTTTTTTAAATTATTGGGTCTGCTCGATGGTTTATTCCATAGGTCTCTAAAGTTATAACAAAGATAGATATTACAAGTTCACAATGGAAATTCTCTACTCTACTACATGTGGTTTCTTCTCAAGGGAGGCAGGAGGGAAAGACCAACTCTCTTTAGGCCACACCATACAAACGTGGAATGGAAAATAGCTATGTGCGGTGGGATTTGATGAAGAAAAGATTTTCCACGCCAAAGGATGAATGCAAGCTTTTCTTTGGTTGATGGCTACTATGAACTATTACTATTGTCCCACTTTGGAGAAGAACTACAGTAGCTGAGAGTCCTTCCCAAACAAACAAAAAAAACCAAACCCCTCACACTTTTGAACAAATCTGCAATGTAATGCACATGGAAATTATACAGTAAAATGTTGTTTAGTAAACATGGAGAGTCAATCATAAATAAGCTTCCAAGTGTGAACAGTATCTCTGTATCTATACCTATAAATTCTGCATTTGTTATAAATATACCGATTAATAAAAGATTAATTTAGAGGTTGGCACCGGATAAAATAAAAACATAAAACCTGACTGCCACTCAGTGAAGGCTCCACTTGACTGAATTGCACACAAGGGATGCTGACCTTCTCTTGATTGGCTGAGGGAAGAGGCTGATACTTCAGCACTTTACTTAAATACACACACGCATGCACAGACACAAGGCAAATAATAATTTTGTTTCCAGGCATACAGTCTGTGAGGTGAAGACTGGAAATGCTTTTCCTTTCTTTGAAAATGAAAATACTTTTAGATCATCGTAGAAAAAAAAAGCATATCTGACAAGTAACATAGGGGTGAGGGCTTAAGCCTTGATGTCTGGCCAGAATTAGGGGGTGAAAAAAATACAAGGAGGAGAGGCCTGCCAAAGGGCGCTAAACAATTGAACTGTTGTCAGTACCCATTAAAAAGAACTCACCCTGAAGACTGGGTCAAACAATCACAGCAACACACAAAATGTATTTTTCAAGCATGTTTGTGATTTTATCTACTGAGGCACAAGGTTGTTCCTTGTGCAAACAACTTTTTTTCCCTTTTTTCCACAAGAACTAGTGCCCAGATAATCAATACAGAAAGTTTCACAAACCTGTGTCAAGAGTGATACTGACAAATGGTTTGGCTGAATGTCTGACCTCCTAAAACCTCTCTCCTTGAGATCACACAATGTCACTACCTAGAGTCCAAGCAGAACTAACAGGGCTAAACAAAACTAAAACAGAGGGAGAGTTTGACTCTTCAAACCAACATCCTGCTGCTCTTTCAAGTCCACAGTAAACCACTCTCAATGGTTGTCAGCTGTGTGGCAGTGTGTGTCTTGTGTGGTAATGTGAATCACGAGGGGAGTAAGATTCCTCCTGCCCGAGCGTGTGTGTGTGTACATGTTGTTTGTGTGTGAGACAGAGTGAGTGTGAGAGAGAGTTCACATGTGAGCTCATTTGCCATATACACTTCCGCTGTTAGTGAGCACAAAATGAACTTGCACTGTGGTCACATCAGTGATGCAGGCAGATAACCTTTCCACACCTGCACGGCAACAGGAGAGAGCAGAAGCACTGCTCCCAGCATCTTGTGTGTGTGTGATAATAAGAGTGTGAGACCTGACCTTTGGTGAATATCCATCATAACAAAATGAATAACCGCTTCTTCAATCTCTTGTGTTTTCTCTGCTTAGGTTTAATCCAGACTTCAACATGGCACAGAGGGATTCAAGTGAAATGGCAATGTCCCTCTATTCCTATTGCAATGGCATTTCCCACACTGGGATTTTAGTCACAGTTCATACAGATAAGCACTGGGTTATTAGAAATACAAGTTGGAGACTGAGCAAGCTCTGCCAAGGGCTTTATGTTGTACGTGAGACACGTGTACTGTTGTGCACTTCAAATCAGACCTACTTTTTAAACCAAAGTGGGGCAAGGTAATGGAAATGTGCCTTGTCTGGGGGTATAAGTCCTCAGTGAGTAGGACTTGAGACAATAACCTGGCTAATTAAACAGGCTAAAATAATGCTGCACTTGAACGCATTTGCTTAGGTAATTTTGACTATCCTTTGACAACTTCCGGGGCAATAAAGGGGAGTCGCGTAAAAAAAAAAACCACACCTGCTTAAAAATGCAGATTAGGGTCATTAAATATGGCGTAGTTTGAATGCAGCGAGTGAACGTGAGGGTAAAGTTAAGCTCATCTTGTGGGGGCAGAGAGTCTGCATCTCCGCCCCTAGGCGACCTCGCATTCCAGAGATCTCCACACTGTAAAGCTCACCTGCCTCTTCCTTCACCACTTAGTAACACGCTTTCAAGGGCAATATCAGGGAAACGTTAGGGTTTTTTCTTTGGTAACCCGAAAACTCACACCGAAACAGTTTCTGTCGGTTAGGTAGCGAAGTTTTTTTTATCCCAATGGTGAACGACATCGAAGACAGAGCGTGAAGGTCCCTCAAAAGGTGTGCGTTGTTGCAGAGGACTCGGTCACAAGATCAAGATTAGCTTAGTATTAGACTCTCTCCCGCTGTGAAGACACCTAAAGTTTGTCTTGTGCTACACACATACAAAACACTTTCTTTACACTGCGAATTCCCGACTTTCTGAGTTCAAGTAACGTTAGCAGCCCCATTCCTTCTCCTGCCTTGCGCACACATTTTTTATTTTTCCCCCACGTTTTCCTCCGCAATTATTCTGCAGTTAGTGAAAGGGCAAAAAAGGCATTAAAGCATTAAATACCTTAGGAGGGCTGTTGTTGCGCTGGCTGAGCTGCAGCTCGGATCTACATTGGAGCATCTAAGTTCATCGGTAAAGTCCCGTCGTTTAGTCCCATGCATGTGTAAGAGTGAAACGCGCCTCCATGAAGCTACAGTGGAGAAGAAGAAGACAGCCCCTCCGCTGCTCCCTGCTCCCACCAGCAGTCCCAGGCAATGCGAGCGTGCATGACGTCAGTGGGAATGTGGGAAAGCAGTGCGCACTCCTGATTGGTTGCGACGGGTGCAGGGGGCGTTCCCGAGGAGGTTCGCGTCGTTGAATTAACCAATGACAGAAGAGATGATAGTTTCCTTGGTTACAAATTTTGTCAACGCCGTACAGAGAGAGAGAGAGCGAGAGAGAGAGAGAGAGAGATAGCGCAAGGTAAGCTAGGGTCCAGTGGGTAAATGTTCATTTTACTCTCATAGCAAAGACTAGATACTAGTCAGGTGTGTTATAATGTGTAATGTAGTTATATTACGAGGCTCTGCAAAACGTACCAATGTTCCTGCTTACTATGTTTGGCATATTTTCAGTGGTGTGACTTCAGCATAGACCTAGCAAAGTGACAAGACAAACAACTGCTCCTCCGTGACACCTGTGCAGCTCTCTTACCTTTTTGTAGCTTATAAATTTGCGTGCCTCATTGTTATTGTTGAACTATATTAGTGCTGCAACTAACTATTTTACGATGATTTTCTTTCTGTCGTTTGACTTGCTTGATTTGTCTGCAAAACAGTCGAAGATCTAAAGGTAGGCTTTTCGGTTTACTATCATAAAGGACCAGAAAATATATTCTCACTTGAAAAGATGAAACCAAGGAACTTTGGGCACATTTGCCTAAAAAGTACAACACCTCTTATAACACATATAACCCTAACTTCTAACATGCACTTCCTGTGCTCTTCTTCTTCTGTCTTCATACAATTCTCTTGTATTGATTTCACTATTCGTTAACTCTTACGTCTTTCCCCAGTTATTTACCTGATTGTTGCTAATAGCGCTTACTAATACCTGTTGTCACCTGTAGATCTCTTACTGTATTGCTTTTTTGATGCTTGGATGTTATTCCTCAAATGTAAGTCGCTTTGGATAAAAGTGTCTGCCAAATGAGTAAATGATGTAATGTCAAAAAGATTAGATGGATTATCGAAATTGTTGCAGATAAACTTTTTGTCAATTAATTGGCCAGTAGTTTCAGCTGGAAACTCTGGATCCAAATGTTTCTCAAGTGTGGACATTCATCCTGAGGAAATCTACAACTAATGTTAGGCTGCTATTATGTCCCTAATCCTTACCTTAGCTTGCCATTTGGTGTTTGTAAATTAATAATCTTGCTCAGCATTTCAAAAAAGAAGCCTTTATATCTGCCAGAGACATGTGAAAAAAATAGCAATTATCTTCAATGGATCCATTACATTGTCAGTTTTCATTTCACTTACAAATTAAATCTGTTCCTCCAACTGACACAGTGCCCGTGTGGCCAGAGTTTTTCAAAGCTTAATCCAAAACAAAGACATAGAGACGTTCCAGCGGCATATCAGATCACACTGGGTGCACCATCTGTCCCCTCCAAACCACTAAAACTTGTGAGAGTCTGATTTTCTAGCAATGTCATGCAGACCTTGATGGCAAAGTTTATTTTTTATTTTTTAAGGGCTTTATTTGCATTTGCTCGTAGTCTCCTGTTAATCATTTGGATGACCCCACTGTACCTGTGCAGGTGAAATATTGTCTTTAATCAAGCTTTGTACAACCTCTGTGTTTTTCACATGCAGTGATTTATGTCTTCAGTTTGCAGGCACTGTAGTACATGCACATAGAGCTCTACAGCGATGAGTGGAATGGATCTGCATTCGTTCATTACAAACTACAGAGCAGAAGATGTGGGTAAGTCCGGTCTGAGACTTTGCTGACTTGTGACATAGTGGCCCATTGATCTGTTGAACAGATTTGACCTGAAGTCCCCATGTTGAATTCTCCAGGTACTGCCAAGACTTTGATGCTTTTGTCTGAGGCAGCATTGCGCGTGTTTATACACCTGTTTCTTTGAGCAGCTGAACTACTCAAAAAAAAAAAAGGGTCTGAGACACTTAGTTTGCTATCCCCCTCCACCTACCCCCAGTCATTTTAAGAAGAAGAAGAAGAAGAAGGAGCTTTATTGCCAAGTAGTGTTTTACACATACGAGGAATTTACTGTGGTGATAAGGTGCTACACATAGAGTCAATATCAATAAATGTAGAAATATATAAATATGGAATGGAAGAACAACGTTGCAGATATATACATGTGCATTATTCTTACATTACCCCTATAATCCATTAGCGCTCAGCTGGTGCTGTTCCCTTGTCTTTACCTCTATTCTTTCTTTGCTGAAGTCAGCATAAAGACTTCAGACATTAAAAGTGATGAGATTTTCCAATGATCCTAATTCAGCCATATCATTTGCCTCCATCCATGCAGAAAAACTGTCACTGCGGATGAAAAATGGTCTTGGCAGCTCAAAGTACAAACCGGCTGAATATAAAAGACTACAAGCCATTGTTGATGCGAAACGCCAGGAGACTGATCTAATTGGACAAAAGGTACATTTTGGTCATTATCAATATCATGCTTCTGCTTAAAACAGCAATTTTATTATGACCTGTTACATTTAATAACATGGTGATTCAGCAGCAAATGAAGAATAATGTGCAGCCACACTATGATATAAAATGTTTTTCCAGAGAGCAAACAGGCCTCATTACCCACCACAGGAAGAGCTTGAACTGACAAAAGCCTGATTTTAATGTGAGGTGATAAAACCGCATGTCTCCAGTAGTTGTAAATAGCATCATTTCTTTCTGTTTGTCTACCTTTCTTACATCTCTCTTACAAACCACACACTGTAAAGGGATTTCATTCCATATAAAACAGACATTGCATAACCTTTATAGTTTGTCCAACAACATGAAACAGAGAACACTGCCATACACAATAGCATCGGCTGTTTCATGAATATTCATTTGGCTGCCCGGGGTTTTCCTATAAAACTGTTTGAAGTTCATACTCGTCTTACTCTGAGCAAAAAGTTAATGCTAGGGGCAATGGTGATAAGGCTGTTAGACCTGTGGTGTTTAAATTGGTAAACTGTGGCAGACGCCTTTTAGTACCATTATAGTTGCCTGTGGCTCCTTCCAACCCTGCTCTCTGCATAACCTAGATAAGACAGGCTATGTTCACGTTTGGTCGCCCTGCTGAAAGGGAGGCTTTTTGAGCATCTCCCATTGGTGATGTGATCGAGGGTAAATAAATGACCATGAGTTGCCTCAAGCGTGGGATCATTTTTTGCTCTGCAGGAAGGGGCTGGCAGCATTAGTAGATACTAAAACCTTAAAATTTCTCTGCAGCATTGTACAAAAATTTAAAAAAGAAATCAAATAAAAAATTGGACTGAGATGGTTACATTTATACAGTTTTTCAAGAATGAACATTTAAATATGTGAAAAAACAGCGTAGAGAGTACTGATACCAACTAATAACTTATACTACCTTGGCCCAAATAGAAAGCATGCAAGTTCATAATTGGAGCACTACTGTCCTGTGGGGATTCTGGGAGTCTTCCCTGTTTAATTGCTATGTTGTTAATCCTTATTCATGCACATATGCACAGAGATTATCTCTAATTCAGGATCTAGGTTTTTGAAAAATGTAGAATAGCAAAAGACAAGCAAGCAAAATTCCATCACAGAGCACAAAATTAAAGAAAACAATTACAAACAGCATTTAAAAGAACAGTTCAATTTGGAAATCTTTAAATTGAACAAGAAATTCAAAATCAAATTGTTTCTGCATTACATTTGTAAGGGACATACTATTTAAAGGCATTTCACATCCATTGTCCACCAGCTTTGTCTAATTAACTGTGTGGGTATGTAGGTGACTAAGTTTGATTGACATCTTTCTGACTCTCCTGTTAATTTTGTTGCACCTCTTCGGGAGGAGAACTTTCACCATTTTTCATATGTTGACCTAATGTAATTCCAGTATAGCTTCACTCAGTGTCAACTTGACTATAGGTTTCATCAGCCAGAAAAACCTCTACTCCTACGTGGGTGTACAGGCACTTTAAAAGCGCAGTCCACCAATACAATAGAGAAAGAGCCATGCATTTGCACAACATCTCCTTAGTCAAGTACAGACGTGATTTTATGTATGGACTTTTCCAGATGTTGTTCATTTCCACATTTTCAGTTTGGGAGACCTGAAGTGTTATGCAGGGATCCTAAAAATACCACACATTTTAATTTATCAGTGTCAAGGTTGTGATTGCCTGGTGAGAGATATCTGAAAAACATCAATATCAGACTGTAAATCTTCGTGGGTTAAAAGATGACATATAAAATGAGATTTTAAAAAAATGAGTCATATTTATAAAAAGGTACATCACGTGGAATGGCAAAGATATGAATGCAAGAAATAGATTTTCTCCAAATCCATTTGATACACAATGAAAAAGTGAGTGGCACTCACTAAAATGGCGTTGTCTTTTCTTGGGAAAATGTGAATGGAAATCTGACTGGACACCCTGACTGTGGTTTATTAGTTAACACAATATCGATATTGATCATTTAGTTTTATTTGGCACAGTAAGATTAGAAATCAATTGATGTACACTGAACGAAATTATAAACACAACACTTTTGTTTTCGCCCCCATTCATCATGAGCTTAACATTTTTCAGTGGCCTTTTATTGTGGCCAGTCTAAGGCACACCTGTGCAATACCCATGCTGTTTGATCAGCATCTTGATATGCCACACCTGTGAGGTGGATGGATTATCTTGGCGAAGGAGAAGTGCTCACTAACATAGATTTTGAAAGATTTGTGAACAATATTTGAGAGAAATAGACCTTTTGTTGTAGATGTCTGAGTTCAGCTCATGATGAATGGGGGCAAAAACAAAAGTGTTGCATTTATAATTTTGTTCAATATAAGTTTAGCTCCAGGCACAGTTTTTGTAGTTCAGCTGAGTTATTAGACAGCCAGCGCAAATTAAGATCACCTACTATACGTTGCCTGGAAGACGCATGGGATGACATCAATTTGCCCATTTTCTTTCAGAGCAGCACTAGTTTCAGACTGAACACTGTTGATTTCAATAACTATAAAATGGATGTTACCCCGAGGGCAAGTGTCCAGCGCAATATATTCAAAATTCTTTTACAACAATTGCAACTTGACATGTATATAGACTTTCATGACATAAATCAACATCCTAACTCGTTTAGATTTCCTGCTACTATGGTAGTATGATAGTATGCATGTATTAGTTATGTGAGATTTTCTTTTGTACAATTATCTGAGCCAGTGGCCTGTGCATAAAAACACTGATAGAAGACAATGAATCGCTGCACTGAGAGCGCTCTGAAGGAGGGCCTTGTTCTGTCTTGATGAAAAAGGAAAACAAAGGAGAGCAGATTAAGACTTCTACTTCCCCCCTGTGCTCTCCTAATAACAGGCCTCATGCGTGTCATGCATGTTTCTACTTGATTATTTTAATTTGCCGCTGTTTATTTTGCTTTCACGCTTCAACAGTGATACTGTTTCAGTTGAATTACCTAGGTTTATGAGCCACTCATAGACACAATACCGCTAATAAATCCTGAAGGAAATGTATGTATACAAATATACCTGATGTGCAGAGAGGAAGGGAACAACGTATTCTTAACTATAGGATACAAAAATGATCTATTTCATGTTTTACCACCTTTGCAAAATCATGATTTATTCACTTTGTAGATGTTGTGCTTTTCCGATGTTATGAAATGGTCCAGATAATTGATGCATTAAAGCACTCCAGATTCAGGTTTTCCAAATGAAGTTAATTATTTGTAGGAGGAAATAAATGTCACGGCTAAAGTGTATTTAAAGTGTGCTTAAAAGCAAACACTCAAACGCTATTTGTTTTTTGGTATTATTTCACTTCCACGGAAACTGTTTATTCCTGCTGTGTATTAAACCTTGTCTTATAGGTTCAGAAGACTCGCTGTGCAGCCAAGGCAACCAAGGAGAGCTCCATATTACGGCAGCACAGACAGGTGTGGAACAGAGAGTGCTCCAGGCTGCAAAAGGCTGAGTAAGAGCCCCCTATTACTCCCTGTCATTATCTGCTGCAGTTTTCTGAATTTGCTATTACACCGCGCAACCGTTCCACTCAAGCCCCATTGAGCCCAGACAGGAACCTGCACGGAAAAATAGGGTGTAAAGATGGGGGGAGAAAAGTAAGCCCATAGAGAATAATGTATCAGGGAGAAAACAAAAAAAGGAAAGATTTAAGCACATTTTCTTGCATTGATTGCCTACATTGAATTAAAGGGTGAGAAACAAAGAGAAGTTGGGGGGGGGCAGGTAGAACTGTGAGGGGTACACTGAATAGAGGAGCACTCCCTCTGCATGCTGAGGCAGAAGCGTGGGACTGGGGCCCCAGCGGTGTCATGCCTTGTGAAGTGAGAAGGGCAGCGTTAGCTCAGGGGTGCAGCTTGTTTGGCTGCGTAATGACTGTGTCTGAGCCACCCAAGGTTAATGATGTACACAAGCGTGAGCCTCAGTAATGAGCCTAGTCATAAAGATGTGCCACTGCTTGCGACTCTCTACACATATATCTAGTTTAACTACCATTCAAAAGCCGCCTTGTCAAATGGGAACACAGGCAAGTAGTATATCTCTATGGTTACTCTTCCTTTATTCACAATCATGTGAACTCCTGGGCTAGTTAGTAAGAAGTAAACAATTACCATAGCACCCTCCATAGGCCTGTCAGTGTGATGTATCATGTCCCTAATTTCTTAACAAGGTTTTGGTGAAATTCCACTGAAACAATGTGTGATAGATGGAAACGAATCATATTTTCATTCATTATCATTTTTTTCCAGTTTTATTGCCAAAACATGCGTTACTTCTTACATAAATGCAGTCATTGGAAGATGAAGACGGGGTTTTTGGATTAAAGAGCAGCAGACCACGATCCGCCCGGACCAAACAGCCAGACCCGGCGCCGCGACAGGTGTAGTTTGCGATCTGACAAGAGAAAAGAGAGCCAGGAGAGGAGCCATGCTGGCCCAGCTAGGACTTAATTCTGCTCCTAAAGATCTGGTCTGGACAAAATAGGACTCATATTGACCAGACAACGGAATTCCGATCATTACAGAGACCTGCCCCTTCAACATCCCAGATCAAGCACTCGGCAGGTGGCCCATTGTGGTCTAGCGCAAGACTCCGGCAAGATGAGAGGAGGTGGACTCTGTGTTTTACATCGATCATGCTTGGTGCTCAAACACAGTCAAGATGGACTCTGTTTCCCAAGTGTCAGACTATTTATTGTGAAGATGAAACTTTTATATTATCATCTGATTGCTGCTGTTTACGTTCACCCCAGATGCAAATTTAAAAAATGCACTGTGGATATGTGTATGCATATAAATAACTGTATATATTGTTTTATTTTATATGTTACCATATTTTAATATAGGCCTACACTTAATTATATGTTGTGTGTGTACCATGAAGGAACTACAAATTTCCTTTTGTTATGCAGCTTTGTGCTGTATAATGTCTAATAAACAACCTTGTACCTTGCACCTTTCACTTAACTAAGTACAATTTTGAATGTACTTTTGTACAGTACTGGTTGTATGTATTTAATAAGGAGAGTGCTAGGTCAACTCATAGCTACATTATTGTCTTGGAAAATTGGTCCATTGATTGTAACTGTTGTAATATTTGATGGTGGGCAGCAAGCAAACAGTAGGCCAGTTTACTCAGGGGAAAAAGCTAAACAAATTCCTGTAGGATAACAAGACCAGAACATTCTTGCCATTATCTGGCTGTCTTTAGGTTATCTCATGTTGTATTATGTTAATGTCTCTCATGAAACAGGGAGAAGGCTGAGAATGACATCCATGATTTTCTACAGCAGATCAAGCCAAATGGTAGAACAGACACTGCCACCTTCTCACTTCAGGATTATGGTACAGCACAAACTGTTTTTAAATAGTATTTGTAACTGTATCGCGATGATTCTCTGCTGTGTATAAGTACTGTACCAACATGTGTCCCTTTATGTCTGTGTTGGCGTTTAGGGCGGCTCCTAGATAGGGAGAGGGAGGCATTCCGGATAGCCACCGTGGAGCCTGTTCTTCAGCTCAAGGATGATCTGTGCTTCAGACTGGGTGAAGTACAACATCAGCAGCTCACTGCCCACCGATCAGTCTGGGAACAAGTAATACAACAGGTATCTGTGTGATATGAAATAAAGAACAATGTCTGAATGTCCAGTGTGGTGATCAAAGTAACTTTGATGAAGACAAACCTTAACAGAGCTGATTGTGTAGAAAGCTAGCAGAATGGCAAGTTTTCTAAATATATCTCAGAAAATACAGTATTATTACATTATTACAGTTTTGTATTGTACCTGGTTCAAAAAATAAAATGGTTCAACTTTTGAGAATACTTGCGTCTTGCAGCTCACCATTTGAGAATATTTTATCTTGTCAGTACACTTAAAGCCCTCAACAATGAATAGTAGCTGTGCTCACTCTCTGCAGGTACCAAACCAAAACAGTCTGTCCTGCACATACAACAGAAGTTTAAACTCTCCTGCTTGTTCACACAATGATCTCAGCTTGCACACAGTGTTGTATTCACCGTCCAGGAATCTCTTGTTTGTTAGATATCCACAGTCCCTAAGTCACCAATTCTGCCTTTGACTTTGAGAGGCTTTTTGCAAGCTCTAGAGATGAATGGCGAGATTAAGGAGTAAGCAGGGGTCTTTAAAGACAGACCATACTTGGAATGAATGTCTGCCAGTCATGTTGTCTCCTCTGTGTGGCTCACTCATGCTTGTTTCTTTCCCATGACCCCCTCTACTCTTGCTGGCCCACAGTCCCTAGCCACCTGATTGCATGGGCATAATATCTCCCTACCCCCTACTCCCCTCTCTCCCGCCCCCACACACAGACCCAGCCACGATGCATCTACATTTCATCTTTTTTTCTCCTCATGTCTTTTGTCCATTTTTTAAATTTATTTCTTATTTCACATCACTCTTTGACTCACAACAAATTCTCTCAGAGATCATTTTCTCTTGCTGTGTAATTACACTTCCATCGCTGAGTGTTTTAAATGAAAACTTAACAGTCTAAGGAAAAAGGGCACTCTGTTAAGTGCTACCTCACAAAAGGGAATCAGAAGGTACAATAATATAATATTACCCAATGCCACGTTGATTGTGAATTGTTTTGACACCACACATTATCATGTTGTTTCCAAACGTTAAAACTGAAACTGAGAGAATTACTCTGTTTCTATCATTTCTAATGGTCAAACTGTATTTCTCCTAAATCATTCATTTTGAGCTGTGTGTGACATTACTTTGGGTTTTCCCTTAGCTGTGTTTGCTGAAGTTAAAGTATAAAAAAGATTATCAACTTGTATAGATGGAGCACATCTATGAACTTATTGTTTTTCCCTTTTTCTTTCCTTTCATTGCCAGATTCTTTCAATGTTCACTTATTCATAACTGCCACTGGTCCCAATAACACATTACAGCTGAATCACATGGCTGATTTGGAGAAATTCAAGATCTAGTATAATCTGCCTAATCATTTTACTATAGAAAATGTGAAGTTTATATGACGTCTGATGAAATACGCAAGGAGACACAACATTGCCCTTTGTTGAGACTGTGAAGTGCTGAAGTGTGGTGCAAACCACAATTGACAAACGTCTAGCCACAGCTGTAGTCTGCAGTCAAGTCTGTAGTCATACCTGGACAAAAAGGGTGCTGGTGGGCATGTGATCAATCTTTGAAAGTCAACAACAAGATTCTAGAAAAGACACTAAAGTGAACGGAGATAGATGTCTTCAATGAGAGTGCTGGACCAACAAACGTGTTTGCTTAAAGGATAACGGACTCAATAAATTTCACCTAAGAATTGAAAGAGCTCATGTCTTTCATTGCACTAGCTTTTTGAATAGTTCCCCACCAATTGCTTGTTTTAACATAATCAGAAGGACGTGTTAACATTGAAATATATCGTTAATGTGACTGCTCCTTTACTATTTGTATAAATAAATATAGCTACTTCCATGTTTAATTCAAATTGATGTATCCCTTTTCGCTGGCAGAGAAAATTGCCTAATTATTTGATAGATATTGTCTCCATTTCTAGCTGTTTTCTCTTCCTTCTGATATCTAGCATTATGAGAAATAAGCAGTTACTTGCTAATACTGAATCACTTAGTGACAGTTTTATAGTTTTCTAAGCCTGTATTTTAGACAGATGTTTATGGTTTCATCCTTGAATTACCAGGTGACCTTTGTGAAAGACCAGCAGGATGACATAAAAGCAAAACTTCATGCAGAGTTCCTGGCCCTGGAGGAGGAGATCTCTGGCCTTGGCATGGAGGTAAGTCTCTCACTGCTGGTTCCAGATGCCCTCCTTCTGTTTCAGCAAATCACCAATTTCCATTCTGTATTAAGCTACACGCTACAGTGTGTCACCAACCCACATGTCTAAACATTACATTATATATATATCTCAGGGATGGTTATATTGTCCTTCGCAGAAATATCTTACCAGTGCTTCAGACAGTCCCGTAAGCATAGAAAACATTGCAGAAGAGGTTGATTCAGACTGCCCTTACCCAGAACTCAAGGACTCCCTGATCCAGGCCTTCTACTCCCTGTCAGAAATATACCACAGCAGGCTGCAGCATCTCCAAGAGCAACTGCAAAGAACTAACAGGTAGGTGTAAAGTTCAGCTTAACTTCTTTTCATAATTCTAAGTTCTTACACATTGATTGATTGAGATAATTGTAGTGATTTTGCAGCTAACATGAAATAAGTCACTTCACTCCCCCGAAGCAAGCTGTTTCTCAGTCTTTCTCACCAGGAGTCTGATTATATCAATGTCTCAAAGCCACTTGCTTTTTATTTCCATGTGGTCGCTATACAGAACATCTATGAATAGTATGCAGTGTATCAATGTATAACCTTTAGAGATGAAGTGAAATGAAATGAAAGAAGGAAAACATGGTGTCATAGTATCATCATGTTTCATCATGTATTTTCTGGGTTGGAATCTGTCTCAGGTTCTGTGGCTGGTGTGCAGACGACCACCAACGCTTCCAGTTCACTTTGTCTCTGTACACTCCTGACATACCCAACCACAGGGCGCTCTGCATGGACATGCTGCAAAGACTGTTCCCTGAGAAAACTAGACAAGAGCTGGTCAGTACTATGACAAAACAAAATGGATTTAGTTGTTTAACAAGTACATCAACTACATTTAGCAACCTGAAAAGATGCAATGAATGTACAATAAAGACACAGACATGCGCGCACTGGTCGGGGTTAGCCTGAAACATTGTACAATGCTGTTTACAATGTACACACACACACACACCAGACACCTGAACACAAACACATAAATGTAAAAATACTTATATACATTTAAAAATACATAACACAATTTTGATTGTCAAATGATTGTGATGTTTCAAGCAAAAGAGCCAATAAATTGAATGCTTTAGTTTTTCGTTTAATATGGTAGAAAATAGAATATCTTTGGGTTTTTAGCTGATGGTCGGAACCAGCAAGAGGTTTCAAGACATCACCTTGGACTGTGGGAACCTTTCACTATTTTCTGACATGTTATAGACTAAACAACTGATAGATAAAGTATTGGGTCTAGTATCCTGTGGGATAGATCTTTTAATTGCTGTCCGTCATTGTACTGCGCTCAAAACACCCACATACTTGTCCAACTTCTATGGACGGACACACACATGCACATACTGTATACTGATGCACTACCCATCAAAAAATGTAACCACCTTCCCGTCTGGAGCATCCCTGCAGTGTGAGTCCCAGGCTCCCTGATCAATGTAGCTCAGTAGCCTGAACCGAGCAGACAGACACACCAATAAGCCTGGACAATGATCTGCTCAGCACGTTGCAGGATGTGCCATGTCACCCACAGTGGACAACTCGCTCACACCACTGCCTAGCATCGCCATGACAACCGCCAGCACTGCTCTCCTCCTGCACCCGCACCCAGAGACCTGTCCTCATATCAGTTCCAGCTGGGTGCTGCATTTAGAGCTGTGATCGTTCAGCCTTCGAGGGGTGGTGTGGGGGTTGGAGGGTTGTGAGAAGGAGAGATGTTTTTTTTTAACATGTCCACACTTTTCACTTCCTCATAAACAGACCCAGAGCTGATGTAGTGCTGACTTCACCAAATTTGGCTATTAGTCATAATTAAGCTGGCATGCCAAGTGGATAATCAGTGTGAACTACAGATTGGTTTGCTGAAACCTCACTTATTAAATGCATAAATGCTATTCTGATATCAGTGTTTGGAAAGAAAACATTTTTTGGCATTTTCTAAAATCTAAATTAAGTGAACAAGTTTGACATTGATTCGTATCCAGTAAGCTCAAGGGATGGTCTACTAGTTGAAGTGAGCTCTGCAACTGAACTGATTTTTTTGGCTCCATTAGACATATAGTGAAAAAAGAATCCTGTCTTTTGGCAGTAGTCTGCTTTGGGCAAATAATTCCCCTGTATTTGCTGTGCAAAGGGTAATATCCATTGCCCCTGCAGACATATGGGTCGAGTGGATATTCTATAGTTAGCACTTTCATTACAGAATTGTTTCTAAGGAGTCAACGACTTAGCTCTTCACTTTTCTTGTGTTGGTTTCTCACTTTAGAGCGTTGGAGGCTGTTCCTGGTTGAGCCTTAATATTTTGCCCACCTGCCTGCCATTTAGTTCCATCTCCATACAATCATTTCAGGATGATTGCATCATTTTCTGTTGCTTTTGTCCGTTCTTTAAATTCTAATACAAGATACACTCGCTCTGCTTTATGGGTAGATAGCAGATGTGACATATTACCACAGTTAAAGGGTTTGTGCAGTGTAACAATTTAAGAGCTGTGGTGATAAATCAGCTCCTATGCTCTCTTTTGCTTGCAGTATCTGCTGTTTTGAAGATGTTTTAGGAGTTAAGATTGAGAAGAGAGAGAGAGAGAGAACATTTTTACTTTATGCTTTGTAAAAATATTGCTTTTGTGAGATTGTCATTTTATATTCTCTCTTTGATCTTAGAGAGAAATATCCAAAGGAAAGTAGAGAAGAAGCAAAGGGTTTGGAGCGTTACATTGCATTATTACATTTACTTGCTTTTCTCTCTTAATCCCAAGACATTTGAACAAAATAATTCCTTGCAGCAGTTTGTTTGGCCATGACTTACAATTGCCAACCAAGTATACCGTATATCGCTGTCTCAGTAAGGTGCACTTTATACTGTGTGCAGAAGTATGTGGACTTGCTTTCTGTGTTCCTGTAGCTGATCTAAAGTAGAACCAGTCTCTCATTTTCACTATCAATTTGTGGTGCTCCAACTAGTTTATAGTGGACATCTCCCTCTGCTGGATGGGGCTGTTTATTGTCTGTTTTGACTTACTGTTTGATGGCAAACTGTGTACCAGCAGGGTTTCATAGTATTGCCCTCATAATGTGCCATGGCAGTAGTGGAAATAATTTATTTGTGTTACCTTTTCAGCCATTTATTTATTTATTTATTTAATGATTCAGTCCTCTTGTAGACAGCACTCTGCAGCGGGAATGTGGATGCAGCAGCTACACTAAGTGTTGTGCCACTTTAAGTGTGCACTGCAGACACAGTGCGGTACTTTCACATACATACTGTATTTAACGTGTTGGCTAAATTGCTTGTATGCCTACGTACACACATTGCATTACAAGCAATGCAAGGATGTATGTGCCATAGAATGTATATATGTACAACACAAGGAAGGCAAGGGTAGTGAAAGAGAGGACACGAGAAAGTGAAGAACAAAGGGTGGATCTTCCTCAAGTTCTAAAGTTGTGCATTAATAAACAGGACTTGCTTGACTGCCTCCTGGCACTTCTGTTCCGTTGGCAGGTCTGTCAGCTCACTCATTTTCAATAAAATCAGTCAGCCGTCTAATGCCTTCCCACCGTCAGTTAGCCGCTATTAGCCCATAGATGAATATCATTCCCTCTGTTCCAAAGAAGCAGCCAAGTGATGCAGCCCCTGTGAGCACTGACACAATGATGAATAGCTACAGGCATCCCTCACACAGAAAGGAACTGTTTTCCTTCAGGACATTTCACAGCCAGGAGAGGACCATTTTATACACCAGCAGAGCTAGACATGACACAGTTTTCTCTGTGGTCCTGCTGCCATTATTATAGACAGTATATCATGTAGGGGTGTTTGGGAATTTCTGTTTGCATGTCATCAATTTGGCACAACACTGTCTTGCCATTTTGGTTTTATATTCATCTTTCAAGGTGATGCTTTTTGTTCAGTGCTTAAAAGAATAACTAATATACATAACCAATACACCAAGTAAGACATTCAGTAATGCCTTTGTGCAAACAATGTCTTCTTCGTGCATGTTGTTCTTTCAGATGGAGCATGAACGTTTGTGGGACCGGCAGCGCTTCACCGAGTCACAGCTGAGAGCAGTGACCCAGAAGTGGCAGCGGGACCAGGAAGAGCTGCTGGCCAGAGCTCTGGTCATGCTGCAGGAGGCGAGACATGCCCACCAGGAGGAGCTGGAGCTCCATAGAGACCGCCAGCACCAGCTGGACATCTGCTCGCATCTCAGAGAGAAGGTTAGAGTCTGGTATACGTATCACACCAGGAGCTGTCACCTTTCAGGAACATTTCCAACTTTATGAGACGGCACTTTTTATGTTGGCACTTAAGCCAACCCATATTTAATGCCTGCAGGAAGGGGATCTCTATCTTTAATATTGTACTTGTTCACTGTTCTGCAGCTTACCTAGTATGAGGTATCTGTGGTCAACTTCTCTACCATTCTGATTTATAAGGCACACTAGTGGAGTGGACAGAATTGTGCTGGTTCCCAGGATATATTTAGTACGATATTCTTTTCCTGTATACTTTCTTAACTGCCACATGAGTAAATGTGATAGGGAGAGATGTGCAGGACCAGACAGGCAGCAGTGTCTGACTGCCTTCTTGTGTACAGTGTATCTGCTGACAAGGCTGCATATTACGCCAGGCTGCCTGACAGCATCTCTCACTTTAGCTGCCACTTGGGATGGCCTGTGAATGCAAACAAGCTAATAAGGATGGTCTTGCAAACACGATGTTGCTGTCTCCGAAGGGTGCTAGTTCACATTCACACAACAAACAAGTTACTCATGTGAACAAATCCATGTGTTGTTGATGCAGTGCTGTACAAATTGAAGTTGTTTTGCCTGACAGTTTTTTCTTTTTCTTTTTTTTCTTTTTTTTAAAGGTGCTTATATCCTGTGGCTGATTAGATAACGAGACACTCTGATGTACTGAGGGAGGGTTGGTGTGGGCCATCACCACTGAAATGTGATACAGATGTTCAAAATGTTGTTTGGATAAACACATTTGTTCATATATTGGTTAACTAACCCACTTCAGGCATTGTCTCAAAGTGGGGCTCTCAAAGTACCAGCCCTTGGATGCCCCTAGATGTGGCCTGTGAGACAATTTCATAAGTACACCACATGTTTAGAAGACGTTTTATTTTACACATACATCTTTTATGTTCTAATAAGGCTGCAAAATTCTCTCTCTCTAAACCGAAAACAAAAGAAGACGGTTTCAAAAGACGGTGACAATTGATTATTTTTTCATTGAGTTTAATATGAACGCTTCCTGCCATAATAAAGTACAATCTCAAGTGGCATTACTGTAATAAACGCACAGAGCAGTATGCTAGGTAGAAGGGAGAAAAGAGGGAAGTGCCAACAACACATCAACAACACATGGATGTTAAAATATATCAATGAAAAAGACACTAGAGGTTTTTATTCTCTTGAATGTTCAAACTGTTTCACTAGGAGAGAACAACTTGGTGATCATTGTTAAAATATATTACTGTATCTCTTCCCAATTGCCATAGGTATCCGTGGAAAACATAAACGTTCCACAGTGAAAGTCTGCTTCAATCTGTTCTGCTGCGTGTTTTCTATAACTCCTGGAAGTCATATTTTCCAAAAGCTTGCAGATTATTTAACTTTGACTAACATAATACCTAATGTTGGACAGGAGTTTTTTCTCCTAACTTGCTTTTATTATGCAGCTGATTATTGGACTGATTTCACTTTATCCTTCACTGTGCTCTGTCATTTACTACTGTTGTTAGTGAAGAAGCAAATTCAAGGGCACTCCACATTCAGTCAGAATGGAACTACTTTAGATACAGCTGCAGTGACTGTGGCATAAAAACACATCATAGGTTTTTAAAATGATGAAATGTGTTATTCAAAGCAGCAGTATGTATCTTCAAGCTCCTTTTTTAATATATTTTTTGAAAACAACGGGCTCAGTTTCAGTATAGGTAAACGTGCAGTAGAACATAAACTATATGCTTCTGATTATGGCAAACATATTTCTGATGTTTGTTTTCATGGCTCTATGAGGCAATAAGAAAAACAAAACCACACAGACTTTCCATTCCCATGACTCCACATCCACATTTTCTGTTTTTGTGTGGGGGCTCAGATGGACGCCTGTTGGTATCCAATCTTTCTTTCCACTGCCTTTATCATCCCAGCACAGCGACACAGCGGCGAGGCAAGATGGATTCTCCTCCCGTTGCATCTGCTTCTTTAACGCTTTGTTTTCTGCAGCTGCTCCCTCTGACCCAAGCAACTCTCCTGAGTACTGTGAGTCATTCATTCATCCCTCTTGAGATCAACTGCCTTTCTACACTCTAACTTTTATTCCTCTTTCATTACATGTGCTGTATAGTATAATATGATTTAATAGAAGACTGGCGCAATGTAGCTGGCAGGCCACTTCTAAATGAATAAAAATCCTTTAAGAGCAGTGTATCCTACTTTGTTTTTCTACAAAGAGGATTTTACATACAGAAAAAATAGATACTGTGATTTTATTAAAAAATATATCCCCAGTAAATGTAATCCAAAGAAATGGATAAAACAGATAAAATAGTTAGGTAATAGTAGTGGATAAACATTGTCCCTTTAATATAAGTTAGTTATAACTAGATTTAAATCACATCTACAGGGGCATCTCAAGCAATTTGAATAACGTAGAAGAAACTGAGAGATTAAAGGCTCTTGAAACCTTTGCAAGTGTTTTGAGTTAATTCGCTGATAAGGGCTCTTTACAGGTCGACATTTCTGTATTATAAAATCTTTATTCTAAAATTCTGTAATATTTTGAGATACTGGATTTTTGACTTCCATGAGCTATAAGTCATGATCATGAAGACTAAAACAAAAAACAAAAAAGGCTTGAAATATTTCACATGTGTAATGAATCTAAAATATATGAAGGTTTTTTGATGCACCTGTAGTTTATAATCCATTCATAACATATTTTTGTGGTGCTAGTCAAAGGGTGCTTGAGCTTGTTTAATAGTTGGACAAATTATTTTTGGAACCACTGGTCTAAATGATGCTTCATTACAATGACCCACTTTACAACAGCTTCTACTGGTGTTAACTGGTTTAAGCTACAGCATTTAAAAATAGACAAAAAAGATAAATTTATCTTTTTACCATGTTTATGAGGACTGCTGTGATAGTACTTGTTGGTTAAGGTAGTAAGTTATTTACTTGTTATATTATCTTGCTGTGATTATGCAAATAACCGCCCTTCTCTTTGCCTCAATGGGTTTAGGTGAGAGCATATATTGGATGATTCTTGGTCAGTGCTGGTTTAGTTCTGACCTCATTATAGAGAGCAATGCTGTGTCCTGCCAGCTCTTCTCCGAGGGATGTGTAGTGGGAAGAAATCCAGGGTAATTGATTTCAGAGTTAGCTCGTACCCCTCTGTTTTGGAAAGGGCAAGGCTGTCACACAGACCACAGCTTCTTCTTGAGAACCACAGACTGGCCAGTGGCCATGTAAAGACGATTGGCTGGATTCAGGTGTCTCGACCCAGATGACATCACTGACCATATAGCAGAATAGCAGGAGCTCCAGATGTGATGTGCAGTATAGGAATTGTAGAAGGTGTCTATTTTAAAAGGGAAAATGAAATACTTGATTAAGATAACTAGTTAACATTCAATGCACGAGATGTGGTTTATTTCATTTCAGTTTATCACTGAAAGACAGGCTCTTTTCTAATCATCAGCTGTTTGTTCTGCAGTGTTCTGCCTGCTGTTATTAACTGGCATTGTTCTTGGTGTGACTGTTAATTCCAGCCTTTTATTTTGTCCTTGCTTTCATTTTGCCTCCCACTTATATCTCACTCCTAGGCATCTTTGATGAGCGATTGTGTTTTCCACATGAGTAAATAAAGCCTGGAGGGATGACAGATTGTTGCAACATGCTCAGGTGAGAAAGGGATGAGCAGGCCAACAGGACAAGCGACACAACAATCGAAAGAAAAAATACTTTCACAAAACGGGAGGTTTTCTTTTATTGCAAAATTTTTCATTTCCTGCTCTCCAGAGTACTTTCCAATTTAAACAGCACTGTTACAAATTAATTTATGCCCACGTGATCTGTGTGCACCTCCTGTTAGTAACTAACAAGTACAGCTCTTCATCCCTCTGGTGAATGTGTTTCAATGTTTCAGCTGACAACTCTCTGAGTAGTTAATTGCTTATATGTGTATATTTTTTCGTCTGCAAAGTGATGTGCCTATTATGGACCTCAGGAAATTTCTCATTGTGCTAGCTGCAGAAATACAAAGATAATTGCATAGTTTCATTTTTTCTCATGTCTTTATGGACATTAGTTCCTGTCCCATTAAAGAGTCAGTAAATCTCATGTGTCATTAATGTCACTCAGTAGAGTGGTCCCACATATGGAGACAGTAAAACACTCATTCTTTCCGGTTTGCTGTTGTAATTCACAGCAATGATGCTGGTTCAAGATTTGCAGTTTTGCATGAGTTGATACCTAATCTATTTCACTCATCTGTTCTATATCTAAAGTTCATCATTAAATGACCTGCTAGAGGATGTTTTGAAGGCTGCAGCAACGCCCCCTGACAGAAGACATCACAATAACTGTACAGTTATATTAACAAAGTCTTGGAGCAGGCTGCAGTGTGTAGATAAAAAGGCTATCATTCTTTTGTTATTCTGACATCTCTGCAGTCTTTTTGTACTGCCATGAAAAAGGATGGTGTCCCATTTCCCTTTTGAATTCACAGAAAATGAGACTCCAGTGACAAATTACTGTAGACTGTACATAATGACCATTTTATTCTCTTAATGCTCACTAAAATGCCTTTTCATCTCTGCCTAAACAAGAAAGACATAAAATCAGCCACTGTGGTTCTTACTGTGTCCACAGTTTATCTAAGCTATAAAGATACATTTCTGATTCTGCTACTGAACTTTTGACTTTTTGCTTTTTGAGACTACAAGACTATGGAAAAAAAACAAAACATAGACAGTGTTGACAGTGTTTGTATGTTTCAAAAAATATGCTTTACAGACCCACCTGCCAGGTTGTTTACACACCCCATCTCTCGTGGTTTCTAGCATCAAACATGCAGGTATCTTTGTCAGGCCAGAGCTTGATTGATGGTTTACTTTTGTGTGTGTTGTATTTAAAAAAATTTAAAAAGCTTATTTTAATTTTAATTTTCAGAGAGAGACGAGGAGAGAAAGATGGCAAATGTCAACAAAGGTCCCCACCAGGACTCAAACCAGGGCTGTTTAATTACTGTACTGATCAGTTTGTATTTAAATACCAATTACTGTATATAAAAATGTGATGTTTTGTACACTAAAGCATTTTAGTAGGCATGTTTTAATCACATAAAACTTGAATGTGCTATAGAGATTTTGTATAGGTCTGGTGTTTTGCTCGGGCAACACTAGTAGTTACTACAATCATTACTCACATCAAAAATTACAAGATTACATTAAACAAGGCAAAACTGGAATCAACAGCAACAGGTGCATATCACATATTTAACACCCAGTACAAAGGAAAAAGCAGCAGGGACAAATGGACAATGAGAGGCCACTGGAAAATAGTACTCACAACATATGTAGCAGCATAAATATTGACAGAATGCTGTCACCATCCACCATCATACTCACTATTCACTATCACTACACAGGATTGCTCATATTCATATTCATATTGAACCCAGTGTCAGGAAATTAGAGCTCTAAATATCTGCATCTGACAACATTTTGATTTCTAAAGAAGAAGCATGTTGCATCTCCAGCATCAACACTGTCAAATGGACCTGGATTAGAGGCTGGATTGTTTTAAGTCCTCTCTCAAATACACAGCTGCTGCTTTTTCTCAGGCAGACATCAAGTATGATTGACTTGATACCACTGGTGCTAATGTGTGTGAGGCCATGTTAATTTGCAGTTCATTCCCTCTGGGATTCCTAAGCTCTCCTATGATAGATCTGTGAATCTGTCTGCCCGTCGGAATACAACACTTTAATACCCGGCACGCCGCAGAGAGGCTGCTGCATAACGAACCTGTCACTCACTCCCCAGCAAATGCTGGACTGTGTATGTCTGTGTGTGTGTGTGTGATAAGTTTAGATCGTCTGTTTCCAGATATCCAGCTGGGTGAGAGACACCTGAACACAACTGATGAGAAATATTTGTCTGTGTTCTGTCAAGACATTCTATCTCCATGTTTGGTTATTAACATTTTCAGACGGATGGACATTTACATCGGGTTTATGCACACTCTTAGTTTTATAAAAGCTTTCTTTGTTCATGAAAAGATGATACATTGGAGATAAATGTTTTCCAGTAAATTGAAACTAAAAGTTTGCTCAGAATCTTTTCACTTTAAAAGTTGGGTGGGCGACTATGTGAAAATAAGTCAATTGGAATAAGTTTTTCTTGACTTTTTGGGATTATGTATAATACCTGACCTGAGCAGCTGTAAAAGGACAGCATTCTCTTCACTAGAATAAGTTCTGTTTGTCATGGGGCTCACATACAAGGGTTTCCTTTACAATTCAATGGTTTAACGGGTCCTGACTGGTGATCTAACACCAAGTGTGAAAGGATGGCACCTCTTTTTAAAGTTCAAGTCACACTTTGACACCATGGTTCAGCTGGTTGTCTCGCTGGGAGTGATTCTTTCATGACAGCTGTTGATGGACAATAACCTGTGTTTTGTTTCTCCCTGGTGTGTATTTGCATGTGTGTTTGTAGCTGCAGCAGTGGCGGGCCCAGCAGGAGGAGGTGGCGAAGCTGGAGGCAGCTATAGCTGCTAGACAGCAGGAGGAGGAAGAGGCGAGGTTAAAGAGGGAGCAGGAGAAGGAGACTGCCATCAGATCGCAGCAGAAAGAAAAAGTAAACATAAAAAATACATGTGTCAGGGTTACACACAGCTTTTGTAAAAACACGCGTTATAATCAAACCAAGTTGAATTAAAGCATTATTGCATAAGATATCTCCATAAACAGGTATATTAGTAAATATTATCTCAAGATGATAGATGGTATGTTTTATCCTTTGCTCAACTCCATATATTGTGTGCATAACTTATTACCCTGTGTGTAAAAATGTATTACCTTGAGAGGAAAAACAAGGTTATTTACTATAAATGCATATGATTCTTTATCATGCAGTTAGCCCACTTAAGATGCGCGCAGCTACCTCTTAATGGAGAGAAACACAGGACTGTCCTCAGCAGGAATGATCTGCTGTATATTTTAGTGGACAATAGGTATAGATGGGTTAGGGTTAGATTGATGTTCACAGTGTGCTGAGAAAATTGCCTCAAAATAAATAAAATAAGTAAGAGACATATTAGCTCAGCTGGATCCCAAGCATTGGCCACACAAATAGCAATGATTTCACCGAAAAGAAAGTACTTCTCAAAAGCACCTATTTATATGTGGCACGTCAGCTCTTGCTAAAACCCTTTGGTGTGTGTACGAATAAGTGTATGAATGCCTTCTCACAGAAAATGATATGGCTGAATCCCTATATAGCACTGCAAGTTGGTGTGGGCTATTTTATAGAACCACTGGAAATACTATGTAGCTCTCCGTAAGTTGTGAACACTTAAATAACTTGTTTGCATTAGATAAATAAAAACATATTATCCTTTGGGACATCAGAAGCTCTGTATTAAATGAAACCATATTATCATACCACATCATAAGATTTCCAATATATGGCATCCGTTTGAAAAAATTACACTAGCTTCCAGCTGTTTACCATTTGTGGATACACTGTTTGAAGGATTTAATTGTGAGCACACATGAAGATCAAATTGAAAGCATATGTTGTTACATGTATCTGGGTATTTTGATCATTCAATTTAGTTATTGTCCTCACAGGTGCAACAATACCAGAATGTGTGCGTGCGTCTGACTGTTTAATTAACTCTCTCCTCAGGGGTCTGCTAGGAGAGCATGGGCAACCTGAGACACTCTGATTAATGAGAGTATTTAGGCTGCATTGGATTCCATATAATTTAGTACAATGGTCCGCCAGACATTGAAATATCATCTCATTCTCTCTATTTACACTTATCTGATTCCCGCTCTGTCACAATCGATAGGACATGACGATCCTAAGAGAGTCAAATTAGTAGGAGTGTGGCTACCGTTCTTGTGGCTGTTGTTAACTTCTTGTTGATATTCTTTGTAAACTGTTATTTTCCCCCCAGGTCAGGCAGTTTTATTTAAAGCAGCAGAAGAGGAGGGAGGTGCAAGGGCAGAGGGATCAAGAAAGACTCGCTAATCTGAGAAGCATCATGGAGGAACAGGCAAGGCGAGATAAAGAGAGGTAAGTTTTTTTTGTCAAAATATGTGTCACTAGAAACTGAATTTGAATCATTTATATTTGAATTTGAATTGCTAATATTGAATAATTGCATTAAAAAATGAATTTGAATCACATAATTGCCCGCTGATGACTTGGCATCAGTAGCTTATGCCAAGCTAGCAAGCAAACCTAAAGCTTGATCTTACTCTTTGCAATTGTAACCGCTGTCATCAATGGGCCATGTATTATAGACAGTTTAAGGTCTGGTATAATGTAAAATAATCTTATCCAAGTAACAGAACTCTAATTTATTTGTTCACATGTAATTTTAAACTTACGGTGAACAACACTCTATAAAAACTTTGTTGTCTTGCCATGTCTCATTGGACTGAATTTGATTTGAGTTAAATTTTTCAGTGAGGATCAAATACATTTTCCGAGCAACTGAATTCAATTCCATTCAGTTTCAAGTTTACTGAAATTCAGTTCCAAATTATTAAATTCAATTTCAAATTATGCTATTCAGATTCAGTTTTTCAATGCAAGGATTCAAGTTAACAATACAAATTCAAATGATGTGATTCAAAATTCATTTTTTTATGCAATTATTCAAGTTGAGAAATTCTAATTCATAATATAAATTATTCAAATTTACTTTATTGTCACATATTTCTGCCCATAGATAAGTGTTGCACCATGGGACCTTGAGAGATCCTAAAACAGAATCCAGAACCCTATACATTATTGCCCATTATCAAGCATGACATGACATGCATTTACCTTTTTGCTGATGGGCTTTCAACCGCTTACAACCACAGATATACTGCAATTACATATTTATGTTTTTATTAGTATACCCAGTATCAAGCCTAAGTTACTCTTGTTATATCAGTTATTTATTGTCATTCAACCATGTAAAACATGAAGGAATGAAATGAAGTCCAGCAGCGTACAGAATAAATAACAACTTAAGATAAGCCCTATATAAAAAAACATTTAAATAATCATCAGCTATAATAAACACATAATATGACTATAAGCTATGTTACAATCATTAACATGGAACCCCACGGTATAGGGCTAAACAATTAATGAAAATATGATCAAGACTGCACTGCATGTCCAAGTGCAATATCCAAATTAATTGTCTGAGACCAAGCAGGGAGGGTCTAATAAAAAGATGCAATAGTTGCATTTTGAGAAGTATAGGATTGAGTATATTTGGAGGTTACCCGTACTTTCAATTCCAGACAGACTAGGGGAGACTAAGGGAGACTGATAAACAGAACATTGTGTTGTGACAGATCATGAGACATGATCCACGAGACATCTAGAATATTTCCATCTGATGGTATGGTCACTCACTGTAAACATCATATAACTTCAATCAAAAGCAAGAACAAGCTTATACACAATACACAGTGTATGTGAAGATGTCAAAAAGTGTGGAATGAGATGATTTAACAAAGTGAGAGCTATTTAAAGTGGAAATAAAAGAGGAAGGTTATATGCTAAGAAGTTTACTTCTGTATTTGTGGAATCCAGATTTACTCAACTTAACAGCAGCTGAAAATCTTGTGTGGTTTGACTTCTCACCTTGCTACAGTGACGTGAACATGTACTCCAGAGAGTCAGTACATTACTATTGGGCGTGGTTAAAGGTGCAATACATTTAAGCCGTTCGACCAGGTAGGGGAGTGAAACGCTGTTTTTTTAGCATGGTGTTAAGTTACTCTTGAAAGATAGAGGATTCTGCATTTAAAACATATTCTGTTTGGTGTGATTTGCTTAGCATTTCTATGGAGACACTCACAGAGACTGATGTTAATACCAGATAATGGTGTTGATGGGTTTGGCCGTGTGAATCAACTGGATCAGGAATGAGAATAGGGGGGCTGAGAAAGAGATAAAAACAGATGATAGGAGAGGAGCCGCACTCTGGCAGCTTCATAAAACCCACCACAGCCCAGAGGCCAGCTATGTCAGAAGTGATAGGTAATGTTGGCCATGGCTGAGGCAGAGGAAGAGAAGCTGTATAGGTCTGATGTCCACACTCTCTCTGCTCCCTCTAGGGTACAGTTTCGGGCAGATATGTTGCAGTGGCGAAGGGAGGAGAGAGAGGCGCGGGAGCTTGAGCGGCAGAGAGAAGAAGAAGAGAAACAGAATCGTCTGGAAGTTCTCAGAAACCAGGTGGATCATTATCTGCTCTGAACCCTTTCAACCACTGTGATTTACTCTGTCAGTTGGAAAGACCCACAAGGGAAGACTTGGACTCATCCTTATCTAAGTCAAGGCATCACTGCCACCTCATGGCAGTAAGTATGAAGACAACCATATGTTATCACTATATAAAATGTTTTTTTCCTCTATTCATCTTAGGTTGGGGTGGTGGCAGAGGCAGACCCAGAGAGGATGATGGCAGATACAGAGGCTTGGAGAAGTCGACACTTGAATGTAAAGTTTGAGTTTGAGCTCCAAAGGCCTCTCTACAGTATTAACACGTACACAGACACACAGGTGAGGCAAGATAACATATACTCTAATTTAACCTTTAGTTTTGTATGATTATGAAAACACTGCATGGCCGTATCTATGTTGTACATATTATGAGCCAACAAGGCCTCTTTCTCCAGTTTCCTTGATGTTCAGTTTCATTTTTCATCATCACGCATAGACCAGTAAACCGAAATGTGCACATCCCACACAGCAATCATAGTAATCTTATAAGGATTAGGACAACTGCACCAACTCCAGCACCCAGAACAAACTCATTTAAAATGGCTTTCTTCAATGTGAGATCTCTGTCAAGTAAGACTTTTATCTTAAATGATTTTATCTTGTCTGCAAATCTAGATTTTATGCTTTTAACTGAATCATGGTTGTAAATGAATGACTATAGCCAGCTAGCTGAACTGTGTCCGCCTCAGTATGATGTTTTAGTCAACCGAGAGTCAGTGGTCATGGTGGAGGCCTAGTGAGCGTGTATAGGAAAAATTTTAAATGTCATCAAGTACGCTGTGATGAATTTAACTCCTTTGAAGTTCTCACTCTTGAACTTGGAGGGTTGCAACCTATCATACTTGTTATAATTTATCGCCCCCAAAACTGCCTGGAGGATTTTTATCAGAGCTTCCTGAATTTTTAGCTACTCTGGTTTTAAATTATGATAGAATTGTTCTTTGTGGGGATTTTAATATTCATGTTGATGACCCCACCAATGTTAATGCAACTGACTTTTTAAATATGGCCACTTCTTTTAACTTCAAGCAACATGTCAAAGGGCAAACACATAACCGTGGTCATACATTGGACTTGGTTTTTACCCTGGGTGTCAGCATTTCCTCTGTGGAATTAATGGACATGACCATATCTGACCACAGATGTATTGTTTTTAGCTGTGATTGGCCGGTTACTCATGCCGCCTCACCAAGCTCCGTGTTTCAAAGTTTTGCGCATTCTTTCAGAGCCAAAGCCAACACCTGTCTGATTCCAACACCAACAATCTGGTTGATCATATCAATAATATCAGCTTGTCGTCACTAAATATTACTGCTCCTCTAAAGGTTAGGCCTACGTCTAAAGCTAGTAAGCAACCCTGGATAAATGACAGCATTCGCAGCCTAAAAAGGGAATGCAGGAAAGCAGAGCGCAGATAGAAAAATCCAGTCTCCAAGTCCATTACCTCAGTCTGAAGGATTTATTAATTAACTACAATAACATGGTTAAGGATGCGAGAACTATTTTTCTGAACTCATTACTACATAAACACAATCCCAGGTTTCTGTTTAAGACTGTGGATCAGCTGGTAAACCCAACCCCTCCTTGTGCCTCAGCTGGAAGTAATGATGACTGTGAATTGTTTTTATCTTATTTTACCAATAAGGTGGTGTCAATCAGAGCCTCTATTATCCCCGCGGCCTCTTACTCAGAGGTCCCTCACCAGCAACAAGAGAGTTTTAACCAGTTTTATCCCATTGACTTGTCTGAGCTTTTAAAAACAGTATCACAAATGAGAGTGTCCTCCAGCCCACTTGATGTAATACCTACAAAGTTTTTACTGAAAGTAATGGATTCTGTTGGGCCCCATTTGATCTCTGTTTTTAACAGCTCCCTATCTACTGGTTGTGTCCCTGATTATTTTAAAACGGCTTGCGTGAACCCACTTTTAAAGAAACCTGGTTTAGATCCCTCCCTCCTACAAAATTTTAGACAAATTTCAAAACTGCCTTTTATTGCAAAGATTCTAGAAAGAATTGTGTCCAAACAGCTGCTCACTGTGCTGGAAAATAACAAAATATTTGAAAAGTTTCAGTCTGGTTTCAGAAAGTACCACAGCACTGAGACTGCCCTGCTTAAAGTCACCAATGACCTTTTAATGTCTGCTGATGAAGGCATGTGCTCAGTCCTGGTACTCCTGGACCTTAGCGCTGCTTTTGACACCATTGATCACAACATCATGTTAGACAGACTGAGGCACTGGGTGGGGATCTCTGGTACGGCCCTAGAATGGTTTTCATCCTACCTGTCAAATAGGAAGTTTTGCGTGTCTGTAAACAACTATGTCTCTTCGTTCTGTCCAGTTAATTATGGTGTGCCTCAGAGGTTGGTCTTAGGACCCATTTTGTTTTCCTTGTATCTGCTTCCCCTTGCACATATTATCCATAAACATGCCATTTCTTTTCATATTTATGCTGATAACACACAAATGTACTTGCCTGTCAGATCCACAGACCCTGGAATGCTGAGTTCACTTAACAACTGCCTTTGTGAAGTTAAAAAATGGATGTCAAATAATTTCCTCCAGCTGAACTCAGACAAAACAGAAATCCTGGTCATCGGGTCCCAGCAGATGGCAGTTTTGCCATCTGCTGTTCCCTAGTAAATCACATTAAACCTTGGTGTTTGGTTTGATAGTAATTTAAATTTCGAGCAGCACACCACAAAGCTTGTTCAATCATGTTTTTATCAACTTAGAAATATAGCAAAAATTCGATCTATGTTAACTTTTAACAGCCTTTTCACTTGTTTAACCCAAAAATCTACTGATCGACTCCAGACTGTCCAGAACTCAGCTGCCAGGCTTTTAACCAGAACAAAGAAATATGACCACTTCACCCCTATTTTAGCTTCATTACAGAGGCTCCCAGTATGTTTTAGAATTGACTTTAAAATTTTATTGATCACTTTTAAAGCTCTTCATGGCCTCTCGCCTTGTTATATTTCTGACCTTTTAGTCCCATACGCACCAGCACGTACCTTGAGATCCTCGGGCAGAGGTCTGTTGTCTGTTCCAGAGTCTCGACTGAAAACTAAAGGGGACAGAGCGTTTGCTGTCAGGGCCCCGAGGCTCTGGAACAGCCTGCCCGAGGAAATCAGGTCGGCTGAGTCAGTGAACTCTTTTAAGTCCCTTCTTAAAACATACTTTTATAGGAGAGCCTTTCCCGATCTTATTTGACTTTATTTTATCCCTTTTATTTTATTCTATTTTACTTATTTTATATTTATCTTAAACGTGTATTTTAGTCTTTTCAATGTTTTCTTTCTTTTATCTTGTATTGTTTTTGTATTATTGTCTTTTGGGTATTATTGTCTTTACACTTGTTAAAGCACTTTGTAACTTGTTTTTGAAAAGTGCTCTACAAATAAAGATTATTATTATTATTATTTTGGTGAAACTGATCAGTGACCCATGCAGGTGAGGAAAATTATGCAACCTGGGTCACTGGTCAAACAATATTTGTCCTCATCTCAGATAACTTTGTGTACAGCCTTGATCTCAAGGCCACCCAGTCAATAAGTGGACTGTAGAGAGTGTGTGTGTGTGTGTGTGTGTGTGTGTGTGTGTGTGTGTGTGTGTGTGTGTGTGTGTGTGTGTGTGTGTGTGTGTGTGTGTGTGTGTGTGTGTAACTTATGTTGTGGTGACATAAATCTGTTTACACAGTCACATTGTGGGAATTTGCCGTTGTTTTTGTGGACAAAATGTCACCATAATGTAAATCATTACATTTTAGTCCTGCAATGATGGAAACACAACTGTGTGTTTCTGTCATGACTGTAGAGAACAGGTTTGAATGTGGTTATTGTGTAACACAGGCAATGACTTCTCTTCTAATACCTAACCATGAAGGATTAGTAATTCATCTTGTTTCAGGTACTAAATGTGTAGTAAACAGTAAAAACAAACAACGGTAACATAAGTCAGTGTGATCTAAATAAAAAGCTGGAAATGTATTATTTACTGAGGGTAATTTCTTTCTTCTTTTACTATTTACAGATTGTATCTGATCCAAGAGTGCGGGTTGAGCAGGCTCTGCGGGAGGCTGGTCTGCACCACAGCCAGTATGCCCAAGAGGTTCTGTCTGTTATCAAGCCCCCTAAACCACCTAGACGAGATACCAAATCCACACTGAAATTCTGAACATCTGACCCCAAAAAGGGGGTTGTCACATTATTTAGATCTGCCAGCTCTTGTTCTGGTACTGAGCATTATATTAAATGTAATTTTTCTAAGCTGCATGTATAAGAATCATATGAAGTTGGACAGATTCTGCTGCTTGGTTGTCCAGCTTCTGTAGTCACAAACTCATATACAGTAGCTATAGTATTGACCACAAGTGACACAGTGCAATTACTATTAATGACTTTTATTGTAGGGTTAATAGTCTGCAGCATCTCCTGAGAAATACATCATATCATTCATTGTGTTTGAGCTCTGATAAACATGTACCTCCAACAAATGATAATGACCTCTCTGCACATTTATCACTATGTACTGACTGCCTATGCTACTTTCAGGAAGTTTTAATTTGCATAAACAAGCTTGTACGGCAGAAGCTACAAAATAGTAATGTATGTCTCTAATCATTTAATAACACATTCATCACTGAAATACATTGTTGGAAGATCCACTTCTTGATAGAGAGAGAAATCACTAAGGAATAATAAGTGCCTTGCATCTACCAAGCATATAAGAGGAAAAGCCTTTAAAACTAGACGCCACTAACAAACCTCCACTACTAGTGAATAATCTCCTGACTCGCTATTACACCCAAAGATTTTTAATCCCATAAACATTTGGAATCGTCTCTATTTCTGTTAGATTTGTAGTTATAGCTAAAATCAATATTGTCTATAAATCGCAGACTTGGATTGCCACCACAATATATAATTTATTAATTTTCCGAAGGAAAAACATGAACATTTTTTGACAGGCAAACAAATTACCAGATGTTGTGGACTTGTTGTGGAAGTGTAAAGTTGATGATACAACTTACTGAGCAATTTTGCTGGGCAATCTTGCTGGTGGCAAGTCTGACAATGTTTTGAACGGATAGCTGTGGGGCAGGGCGGAGTGGTGGGGGAAGGGGATTATGCTAGTTATCTTTACTCATTACCATTGATGGCAACATTGCCCAGCACCAAAGTTGCTCCATGTATCATCAGCTTAAGTCAAATTTTAAAATCATACAGAACACATTTTTTTTTTGAAAATTAATGTTAACTTACATAAGTACCAGAGTATTAAATATTAAACTATGCAATACATACTACAAAGAAATCATATCATTTTGAACAACTTCTTAAATAAGTTTCTAATACACATATTAACATGTTAAGTACAGTATATATACATATCCACATATCTGTCAAAGCTATATACACTCTATTTGGGAGACTGATGTTGGGATGGGGGATGCAAGGGTCTCAGATGATATGTCCCAGATGCTTCTTGATAAAGTGGGACACCAGGACTTGAGGTCTCTGCTGGTACTCCACCAGAACATCATGAGGGGAGGTGATCTGGTCCCCCTCAAAGCGGTTCAGCAATGTAACGCAGACTACAGCCGCTGGGGTGCAAAAAGAAAATATCAGTCATACAGTCATATATACAGTCTGTTTATGTACATGTTTTGATTTCACACTTGCTTTGGCAATGTACACATCTGTTTCCCATGCAAAAGAAGCCCCACTGAATTGAACTGAATTAAAATAGTAAATGCAACTGTTGGATATCATTGGGTCAAATTATAAATCTGAAGTGAGACACACTAAATGGATGATTGTATCTCCAAACCAGTCAATAAGCTGTGCCACTGTACAGAATGTCCTACATTTTGCAACAAGTACCTTTGAGGCCACAGACACGGCACATAGCAGCAAATACGGTGGACTCCATTTCAATATTCCTCACTCCGGCCTCGTAAGCTTTCCTCAGATACTCCAGTTTTTCCTCATGGGAGAAGGAGCAGAGAGCTCCATCAAGTCGGCCTTGACCTAGAGAGACACAGCACAGCATTTGTCACTCCCTGACCACTGGCTTTGACCTGTTCTGTGTTCTTCCCTGTACATCTCGTGTGGGACAAGGTGATGACAAATGATTTGATGTGATCACAAACAACCAGAGCGTGAGATGCTGTTTATACCTTCATAGAAGTCATGGGTGCACATGGTGTTTCCAATCACTGTGGGAAGGTTCTGAAGCTCAGAGGAGCACTGCAGAAGCTCGCTGGCCACTCCCTTGTCCAGCTCAGTGCTCCTGGTGATAACTTTACCCAGAACCACCTGCTCAAACTGGGGGCGGAAGGAGTAGTCCACTGCTTTATCCGTGACCACCACAGTCCCTGGAGCCAGACCTAGAGACGACACCAGGCAGAAATTTAAATCAATTTAGTTTTAAAGTCAGGATAGAGGCGAATTATTTTCACTTTCAAAACCAAAAAGACAAAGTTCTCACCAACTCCACCAGATGTTCCAAGGCGAAACAGGACCACGTCACGGCACTGAGCATGGTGCAGCAGTTTGATGAGCTCATGCAGCATGATGGAGATAGAGGGGACACCCATGCCATGCTGTGATGCAAACAAGATCAGGATGGAAATTGGATGGAAAACAGTGACATTATTAAACCAGTAATATTTTAGGTACTTGCCTTTGGAAATCAAGCCTACTAGGACAGTTTATATCATTGTTCTGTAAAAAATGGTTATGTAATACTTACACTTATAGAGAGCACTGGTCCCACTTTATACATGCAGTAGCGATCAGTTCCCTCACAGATATCTCTGACTTCCTCTGGGTTTCCAGGCAGTTCCAGCTCCTGGTGGATGAACTGGGCAAAAGCCTTCATTCGATTCGCACTGCCACCAACACACACAAACTATGGGAAACAGAGAAGGACTAGTAAATTGTTTTTTTCTAGCTTTTGAAAATTTAAACCTCAAATTTGTTTTTTTTTATTTTAAATTAGCATTTCACAAACCTTAATATCTCCAAACATTTCTGGAAGGTTGTGAGTCTTGGTACTCAAGTTGAAGTGGTAGAGAATATCCTCCTCCATGGTGTCCAAGTAGGGATTTTTCACTTGCACATGTTGTCTAAGAGCAATATAGTACAGCATATTAATAAATGGACAGATTGCTTAAGTGAATCCTAAGAACTATGTATGTGTGCTAAGTGGATTAACACAATAAATGTTGATTTTTAGGAGCAACAAGAAGAAACAAGTCCATTCAAAGCTCAGCTGAGGTCCCCAAAAACTCACTTGATACATTCGTCGTGGTCATTCCCCATACAGTTAAGTAAAATCGGTGCCATGACTGCTGGAGATGCTTTGAAATCCAGTTTAAAATATAAAGTTGTTCTGCTGTAAAAACCTCCAAATACTCCTTGCTGCTGTTTTTGAATAAGTTACGTCTGACTGCAGAGCTAATATAGTGGTGACCTCTGGCCTTGCCACTGATTGGTTCCAGAGAGAGGAGTAGCACTTGCCCTCGCTCACGCAAAAACATCCACCAGCCAGAAAAGACAGCAAAATCAGTCATCAACATGATTGGTCAAAGCAAGAGTTATACCTTCAAAAAGAAAACCATAACAGTGGCGGTGAAAACAATGTTTGTGACGTAAACTGCTGTTATGACTGAACCTTGCAAAACCATGAGCAGTGTCTCAAACAATACCCAAGCCAGTGAATGGATAACGTGTTGTCAGAGAGCTTTTGCAAATAACAGAGATAACATCTGACATTGGTGTTCAAAGCAATGACACCCAGAACCAACTTAATGTACAACCAACAGAAATGCTGATGGTTCAGTCAAGTCAACTACATAAAATTATACATGGCATCATTTGCTCAAAGAGTAATCTTACAATTTTTCATGTGTCTCAGAAAATGGGCCATCATTTGCTATAATATCACGGTATTATGTGGCAAATTATTCACAATAAAAAGTCAGCCTGTGGGAGCAAATGTAAAAGTAAAAAAAGATTGTGAAATATTTTTGAATAACTTTGATTTTATTTGACTTTTATTCCTTAAAGCTGCCTTTTACAGAGTTACAGACACAGCAAAAAAAACTTAACACTAGAGCAACAAGTGCCTTCTTTTCTCAAGGAACGCAGTTTATGAGGCACCGCTAGCAGGCACCATAAATAAAAAGTCCTGGCTTTAATTCAATGAAGCACTTTCACACTTGAGTAATACATCTGACATGAAAAAACAATTGGAACTGAGTACAACGTCTGATGTGGCTCAGCATGAAGGGACAAAGAAATGAATGAGGAGGGGATGGCAACTATTCCTGCTGGAAGAATTTGATCCTTTCCCACGGACTGGCAGTCTGCTAATCTGTTGACATGGAAATGTATACGAGCATGAGTCATTCGCCTAATCATTATCACATACTAATAATCTCTACATTATACTGCCAAGAGGCATCATAAATTCTTAACGGCTGAAATCTTAATGTTTTACACCTCAAATTTTGTGACCATCTTTTCATTATGTACTATATATACATAGAATCAATACACTGCTGGACAGCTTGGCTACATTTCCTTTTATAATAATAGAGGTGAATTTTGATAGTGTCATGAAAAAGCAAGAAAGTAAATGATTTATGGTGACCTGGAAGACTGCAACTCAAACTATCAGCAACAATGAGATACTTACTTGACAGCAAGCGTTGGCTATTGGTTGTCTTCGGCATAACCAAAGCTCAACAGCTTAGACATGTCGATGGGAGCTGGTTTCTTGTCAAACATTCTGTGAAAACAACAAAAGCACAAAGTACAAATTTGATGGAAAGCTTTGTCATGGAAATCTAACCAGATGATGCTTTTATAGTTACAAATTAATTTAATGTTTTGTCATGGCCACAGTTGCCTATTAGATTAGAGCCTATCAGAGAGGTAAACATTAAAAATGATCCCTACCCCTCCAACATTTTACACCAAGACAAACTCTGGCTACTCATTACAAACGTAGTCAACCAACAAAGCGCACAGAGTCATTGGTATTTAAAATAGTCAGTTTTCTCTTCATTTTATATGAAACTACCAACGCTACTAAACTATCTATTTAAACAAGTAATTTAATGTCAGATTTAGACTTCTTGTTCTTCTTGAATCCAATACCTGATCGCTGCACTGCAATTACTTGTTGATGTACAGTATGTCCCGTACAGCGTTGTATCTGAGGTTCTTTTGGGTTTTTGACAAATCATTGACACTACAGTGAACACACAGCACAGATCAGCAGTGAGCCAAAGCAAACAGGTTAATGTCCATATGTCTAGACACCATTGCTCTGTGTACTGCTTAATTTGACCTAAGTGTTCAGCCTGACATTTCTGCTTAGTCATCACAATATGGAAACATTTGGTGTCCCTAATGTGCAGACTGTGTCAGCCATATGTGTTATGTCTTATAATGCTAATTAACTACGCAATTTAACTGATGGGGAAGCCATATCATTTTGAACTCCTGTAGAGTATGCAATTTCTTACAGTCATCATAGCAAACAACACTTAAAAATAAGTTACAGAATTAAAGTCAGTCTT